TTTATATTTATATTTATATTTATATTTATATTTATATTTATATTTATATTTATATTTATTTATTTAAAAGATTTGTATGGCCGCCCATGTTAAATAACTCTGGGTGGCTCACAACAGCAATAAAACCCAGTAACTATAAAATATAACCATAAAATGATCAAACAGAACAAAAACCCGTTGCCTTAAACATCCCCTTAGGATGCCCCGCAGCAAGCTCCAATTACCCTCGTTCCATTCTGTCTATTCTGTTCTATCCTATCCCAGGGACTGGGTAAAAAGCCAGGTCTTGATGGCCTTTCAAAAGGCTAAAAGGGTGGGGGCCTGCTGAATCGCCAAGAGGAAGTGTTCCTAATTGTGGACCCTTTTCTTGAGATGATTCATCCAGTGGCATAAGCACATCCATGCAAAAATAGCCTGCGTTTTAAAAAAAATCCAAGTATATTCTATTCTTATGTGACTAGTCATATCACATAAGTCTTATAGCTATGCAGTAGCTTCTACAGTCCCTACCTACCTTTTTGGCCCATTGCAGGTGGCTTTCTGGATTCTAGCAACACCACCATTTACCAGGGTTTGATATTCCTTAACATCCCCTTTGGTAAAGTGGCAGAATTGCAAGTTATTATTCCTGAAAGGGTCCATCAATGCAGGACAGCATATGGAAGAACCTAGGAAATGCTCTACAGATGGTCTCTCCCAGCTCCAGTCCTGCTTGTTTCATAGAGATGGGAGAGATCCAGGGCAGCTGGTTCATGTCTTTGGATTTAGGTAGCTGGGATTCGCTTCGCCAGTTGATGGTGCCCATTTTGCACAATACTTCCAAGCTGTGGATGTCTTGTTCAGCTTACCTTCCTTGAAGACAATTCTAGAGAGCCCAGAAAACCTTGAACTTTGTGTTCTGTGCCTAAGGGGTCAGGCATCTTGGGCAGCACAGATGGGTGAGAAAGATATAATGAAAATGGAACTCTATTGTTCAAAATGATGGTATCTTATTTGGGTTGGAAAAAAAAACTCATCAAATTACCTGCAGTGCAGTATCTAATGCAGTGTTTCTCAACCTTGCCGACTTTAAGATGGGTGGACTTCAACTCCCAGAATTCCCCAGCATGGCTGGCTGGGGAATTCTGGGAGTTGAAG